TGTCTTTACAAGATGTGATAAAAAATACAGTGAACGTTGCTAAATGAGTGCCATCCATGGGAAAAGAAGGCTTGCAAAAACATGACGCTGTGTCCTCATCCACCGTATTCACCAGATCTGGCACTGTTTGACTTCAGGCTCTTCTCCAAAGTCAGAATGACCATGAGAGGGAAATGTTTTGAATCAACTCAGTACACCAAGATAGGTGTAATGGCAGAACTAATGATACTCAGGAAAGAGGACTCCAGAGCTGCTGCAGGAAGTAACAGGAGTGATGGGATGAGTGTGTTGGAAGTGGGGAGTTATTTTTTAAAAATTATGTATTTTTTGTATTAGTGCTGTAGTACTAATACTGTACTGTATATCTTTTCAGTATATAATGATACATTTATCATAGGGAGTTTGTACATGTACAAACACATCTTCATTCTTTTTTTGTCCCCTTCTCCGATCCCTCCCTGCTACCTTCAACTCTTGATCGGCTTCCTATTTGAAAAAGCTTTGTTGGGGAGGGAATATTTTTTCTTTGGTACTGGGAATCGAACTCAGGACCTTGTGCTTGCAAGTCAGGCAGTGGAACCACTGAGCCAAATCCCCAGCCCTTGGGGAGGGAATATTTTGAAGGGCATTAATGGCATTAATTAATTGAGAAAAACCACTGTTTTTAAATTATTTTATTTTATTTTTTAAAATTTATATATTAATTGGTACATTTTAGGTATACAATACATTTACATTTATCATTGGGTGTTTGTACCAGAACATGATGTATCTTAGTTCTTATTTTTTCCCCATTCCCTGTGCGCCCTTTACCCCCTCCACACCCTTCCCTATTTACATAGACTTTGTTTTCTTTTTTCTTTTCTTTTTTTTTTGGTACCAAGGATCGAACTTGGGTCCTTGCGCTTATGCAGCAGGCAACGAAACCACTGAGCTAAATCTCCGGCCCTGTTTCCTTTTTTTTAAAATTTTCTCATAATTTTTCCTTTCCCTTCTTTCCTTTCCCCTTCCCCTCCCACCACCCCTACACCTTTGAACCTTTTCTTCCTATTTCAAATTATCAGTTATTTGTTTTAATCATTTTTATCCTTATTTACACTTTCAGTTTCTCACACTAGAGAAACTATTTGGTATTTACACGTGTGTCCTACTTATTTCACTTAAGAAGGTGGCCTCACTCAGTATGCATCCATTTAGCTATAAATGACTCTAGTTTCTCGTTCTTTATGGCTGAGTAGTACTCCATTTTATAAAAAAAACCACATCTTCTTTATCCAGTTTCCAGTTGATGGGCACTTGGGCTGTTTCCAAGCTTTAGCTATTACAAACTGTGCCGCTATAAACATGGGTGCACATATATCACTGTGGTACGATTCTTTTAATTCTTTGGGGAAGATACCTAGCAGGGGAATAGCTGGGTCAAATGGGACCTCTAGTCCTAGTTCTTTGAGGTATCTCCATCCTGATTTCCACAGTGGTTGCACCAGTCTACACTCCCACCAACAATGGAGAAGGGTTCCTTTCTCCCCACACCCCCGCCAGCATTTGTTATTGGTTGATTTCTTGATAGCAGCCATTCTTACTGGGGTGAGGTGGAATCTCAGTGTTGTTTGCATCTGCATCTCTTGAATGACCAGTGATGTTGAATAGTTTTTCATATATTTATTTGCTGTTTTTACTTCTTTGTCTGAGAAATGTCTGTTCATTTCGGATGCCCATTTTTGAATTGGGTCTTTGAATTTGGGGGGCCTGATTTTTTTCAATTCTTTATATATTCTAGATAGTAGACCTTTGTCTGAGGTACAGCTGCTAAAAATTTCTTCCCGTGTTGTAGGTTGTCTCTTAGCTCTGTTGGTAGTTTCTCTTGCAGTGCAGAAGGTTTTTAATAAGATGAGACCCCAGTTTTTGATTCTTTGTGTTAGCTCCCGTGCTATTGAAGATTTGTTCATAAAGTCTTTTCCTATGCCAGTGTCATTGAGAGTTCTACCTAACTTATCTTCCAGCAAGTTTACTGTTTCTGTCTTGATATTTAGCTCTTTACACTGTTTTTTTTTTTTTAAATCACACCTCATATATGAAGAAAGGTCTTAAAAACAGTGACAGAATGTTGGATGAAGGGAGGGAGATAGCTTTATAAGTGGAAGTGCTTCCTGTGTCAGTGAATCATAAGATGAGCTATTGTGAAGATTTCAGATGTCTGTAAGTTGGGCTATAAGTGCAGTGGATTTACATTAGATATCCAGATTGTTGGCCTGGGATTTAGCTCAGTGATTCTGCCCCTGCCCCATAAGGGCAAGGTCCTGAGTTTGATCCCTGGTGCCAGGGGGAGGGGAGAATCCAGATTGTTTAATTTTAATGGAACTTACTACAACCATCAAACTTTTTAATTAATTAATTAATTTATTTTTGGTACTGGGGATCAAACTCCTCAGGTCCTTGTGCTTTCGAAGTGGGCTGCAGAACCACTGAGCTAAATCCCTGGCCCTATCAAGCTTATTTAGAAAAGAAAAATAAATACAAATAGCTACCTTCCACCCCATCTTTATCCTTGCTAGACGTTAAAAAATGCTTTAGCTGTTACAAAGAAACTGTTGTGTGTCATCAACCATGAATAGGCAAAGATATGAGGGACAAAATACAGCAACAAATTACTTATATATCTGGGAATTTGATTTAGAGCCCAGGTGACTTTAAAAGTAAAAATGTTTTTCCATGTACAGGTATAGAATTAAAAAAAAAATTAGATTAATTAAGATTTTTTTCCTCTTTTAGAACAGAGCTAACATTTTATTTATGAAAGTACTTGGCCCAAGGATTTAACAAAAAAAGAAAAAATTAGATGCTGAGGCTTGACCTGTAACCCATGCTTAGAATTCTTAAGACACACCATTATTGTTGTTATTATTATTATTATTTTTGGTGTTTTTCTTTTCTTTCTTTTTGGTACCGGGGATCGAACTCAGGTCCTTGTGCTTGTGCAGTAGGCGGTGATACCACTGAGCTAAACCCCTGGCCCTTTTTATGGTGTTTTGAAACAGGGTCTCGTTTTGTAGTTGAGAATGGGCCTGAACTCACTATGTAGCCCAGGCTGGCCTTGAACTCACAGCAGTCCTCCTGCCTCTGCCTCCCAAGTGCTACAATTATAGGCATGCACCACCACGCCCAGCCCATGGTGTTTTAATTAGCAAGCATATCCATTTATTAATATAACTTCAGTTATTATTACTTTTTTTTTTTTTTTTTTTGAAACAGGATCTCACTATGTAGTTCAGCCTGGCCTGGAACTCTCACTATTTTTGCCCAGGCTGGCTGTGAACTGAGGTGATCCTCCTGCCTCAGCCTCCTGAGTGCTGGCATTACAGGCATGTGCCACTACGTCTGGCTTTTCTGTTATTTTTAATGAAATATTCTATAAAAGTCTTTTAGGTGCTAATCATTTCTTCTCCACTCTTTTCTGTTAATGACACCACTAGTCTTTATACCCCCCCCCCCCTTCTGGTTTTTAGGACAGTTTTGCTAATTCGGCTGGCCTAGAACTCACAGCAATCCTTCTGCCTCAGCCTCCCTAGTGCTGGGATTATAGGTGTATGTGCTGCCATGGTCAGCTTCCTGCTTTGTCTTGTTTCCCGAACCAGCAAGCTTTGTTGCTTCTTTCTCGGCTATCCTTCGCATTCTTCTGGGTGGGGAGGGAAATGCTGTCTTCCAGTTAGGGTTTTTGCTTCTTAGATTAATTGGATTGCCTTTTGGCTCTTTACTGTACTATCTGAGCTGCTTCCTTTCAGTCTTGTATTCTGGTGAGACAAAAAATTTTGTCCTTGCTTTTGGTGTTTTTCTTCAAAACTGTAGTTACCTCTTGCTGTTTTTAAGTCCAGATTACCTCCCCATTCAACCCATTTTTCTGACTTCCAACAATGAACACATCACCTTTGTACATCTTTGTGTTCCTATCCCATACCATGTTCCCATTCACTTTGAACCTGTGCTCATCATATACCTTTGAGTGATTTTCTTATTTTTTTCTAAGCCTTCCTGAATGTCTTTGGAATAAAATGGTCTTCCTTTCTCTGGCTTGTTTAGTACACATAGTACTTTCTTTTAGTTTTTATTTTTGGTACTGGGGATCAAACTTAGGACCTCGCCCTTAGGAAGCAGGTGCAGTGCCACTGAGCTAAATCCTTGGGCCAAGTACTTTCATAAATAAAATGTTAGCTCTGTTCTAAAACCGGAAAAAAATCTTGTGTTTTCCTGCAGTACTCTTATGATTGTGTGTTTTAAGTTACTCATGTATTGGGAGCACACCCTGATGGCATAGTCTGAAGCATGGGTCAAACCTTTTTCTGCAGATTGCTGCACACTTGTCTCAGTGCCATTCGTGGTGAGCCACTGCTTCCCTCCAGAGAGAGTTGAGATCTTTCTTTTGTAGCATGGTGTATCTTTGAATTTCACATTTTTTTCTTTTGGCCATTCTGTAGAGTTACTTGTTGTACCAAATAGTTTTAATTTTTGAGGCTCTGTGATACACTTTTTTTTTTTTTTTTTGGTACCAGGGATCGAACTCAGGTTCTTGCGCTTGCGCAGCAGGCGGTGAAACCACTGAGCTAAATCCCCGGCCCCTCTGTGATACACTTTTAATAGCATCAGACTGGATCTTCACTGTGCAAAAGCTTTCCTAGTAATTCTTATTTATCAGTATTGAAAATCATCTATTGAGATCAGATTATGTATAAATTAATGTACAGTGTTAGATTTTTTCATCATTATATCACTTGTATTCTTAATTTCTTGTGTTTAACTTCTTAAGCGTGTCAGTTGAAATGAATTTATTTTCGGAGGGGCTACCAGGGATTGAACTCAGGGCCTTGTGCTTTCTAGTCAGGTGCAGTGCCGTGGCACTGCTGAGCTAAATCCCTGGCCTGGTAGAAGTTAATTTTGAAAGATTGTTAAACTATAACTTAAGTAGGCACTCTAGAAACTAATTTTTATATATCTCTGCTTTTCAGTTTAGCCCCATGGCCAAAGGTTCTCAGAGATACATGGTTTCCACTGGTGCTGATGGGACAGTTTGCTTTTGGCAATGGGATTTACAGTCTCTGAAATTCAGGTAAGTGACAGTAGATAACAGGTTTCTTTTCTGATGCAGTTATGGTTTAGTCTTATGAAGTGTGATTATAGAGAGATTATGTATTGTGGTTGCCTTTGAATTTATTATATAAAGCATATGTGTAGTATTGACTATATTAAAAGATGCATAGGGCTGGGGATTTAGCTTAGTGGTTCTGCTGCTTACTTTGCAAGTGCAAGGTCCCGCGTTCGACCCAGGTACCAAAGAAACCAAACAAACATTAGAAATGTGCAGTCGCATATGTAACCAGAGGCCCAGGCAGGAATGCTTGGAAGTCATGAGAGCTGGATTATGGATGTGTGATGTCCAGTACTGTACTCCTGAGCTCCATGTCACTGGTGAGACTTCACATGTAGTTAGTGTAATCAATGAGATGAAGTGTTAATTCAGCTTTAAAACCTCATACTTGATTCAGTTACTAGAAAACTTTTACATATGTTCAAACACCTTGAGTCTGAGTTCTTTATTTTATTTTTTCTTTTGGTACTGGGGATAGAACTCAGGTCCTTATGCTTGTGAGGCAGGCAGTGGAACCACTGAGCTAAATCCCTGGCCCCCTTGTCTATTGTTTTATTTTTTGGTACTAGGGATCAAACACGGGTCCTTGCCCTTACGAGGCAGGCGGCAGAACCACTGAGCTAAATCTCCAGCCCTATTGTTTTGTTTTTTTTGGTATCAGGGATCAAACTCGGGACCTTGCGCTTTCGCAGCAGGCGTCGGAACCACTGAGCTAAATCTTTGGCCCTGGCCCCCTAGTCTGAGTTCTTGAAATAACAAGTTTTGGGAAATCCAAGTACAGGTCCAAGTATTTTTGATGAAAATTAAATATTCACATCGAGATGTATTTTACTTGTCAGATACATACTGAAAGATTTCAAATATGAAAGAATCTGTAAAATATTTCATTAAAATCATGTTATGATTGATTACATGTTGATATGATATTTTGGATTATGTTGGGTGAAATTAAAAACTAATTTAACTTTTGAGACGGTATTTCTTGTTGCCTAGGCTGGCTGGGCTCAGACTGGTGGGCTCAAGCACCTTCCACCCTGGCCTCCCATGTGTCCCACGCAGCTGGGACTCTGGCAGTATGCTGCCCACACCTGGCTTCTTTTTACTTTTTAAAAATGTCGCTACTGGAAGAAGGGCAGCTCACCATCCACCCCGTCCTACTTATGCCCTGGTGGTTGTAAACCCTGCTTGGCAGTGGGTTCACTGAGATTGTCCAAGCTTTAGTTGCTACATTTAGAAAAAGTGGGGTTAGTAGGCTTGTTCTCTCAGTGTGCGATGATGGTCCTTAGACTCTATCTCGGTATTTTATCTGTTGGCCATTCTGATAAATGGGAACATTTGGCATATGGTGAGGGTACACTAGGACTAAGGCTGTATTCAAATGTGCCTGATTACAAGTAATATTTCAAATTTGTTACTGTGTTAAGCTAATGTATTTTAAAGTAGTGTCTTCTTTTTTTATAGTCCACGCCCCCTGAAGTTCACTGAAAAGCCCAGGCCAGGTGTTCAAATGCTTTGTTCTTCTTTTAGTGTTGGTAAGATAAGTTCTTTGGTAATTTAAAAAATTATTTTACTATTTTAATAAATGCCCACATTACTGCTCTACGAATCTTTATTAGAATTCTGTTAGTTTAAATTTGTTTTCCACAGAGTTATCTTATTTAAATCATTTTCACTTTTTCTTTCTTTCTTCTTGGTGCGAGGGATTGAACGCAGGGCTTTGGGCCCCTCTTTTTTTCCTTATATACTGTAGTGAGCTTGAGTGGTAATCAACCTCCCTCCTTCCCTCCCTTCCTTCCCCTTTAGATGGCTCAAAGAGTTTTCTCTCACAGAAGTCTAAAAACTTGAAGTGAACTCTTCCCAAGCTAGGTCTAGGTGTGTGAAGTTGATTGGAAAGCAGACTCCTTTTGTTCCAGTATTTTTAGAACATTGGCACTCATTTGATGTTTATGTTGCTGTACTTGGTAAAGCAGAGTGAGACTGAACATTTCCACATTGTGTTAACTTTAAGTACAGCTGCAAGTATAGTTTTATAAGGTTTTTAGATGGTGAGTTAGAAAGTGGATCTACTGAGATATATTTAGTTTTAGAATGAGTGACCTTGATTTTTCTTTATTTCAGTATAGAAATTTGATTTGTTCAGATACTTATTATAAGCTAGATGTTTGAACTTTTGTAAAAATAAATTTTACTTTTTGTCCCATTCCTGCCCTCAAGTCTCCTCCCCTCCCTGTGTACAAAATCTTTGTTTCCATATTTTCCTTCTATTGTCACTTTTTTTCTTGTCCCTTCCTTTCTCCCTCCTTTCTCCCTTGTTCTCATTCTCATTTGAACACCTTCGTCCCATTTCCCAATATCCGTTATACATCTCACTCCTTATTTTCACTTTTAGTTTCTCACACTAGTGAAACTGCACTTTTTAAACATGTATGTCTGACTTATTTCACTTAAGAGTATGGTCTCAGGGTCCGTTCATTTAGTTAATAAATGCCTGAAGCTCATCCTTCTTTATGACAGAGTAGTACTCCATTGTGTAAAAACCCCACATCTTTATCTACTCATCAGTTGATGGGTATTTGGGCTGTTTCCAGCATTTATCTATTACAGTCTGTGCTGCTATAAACATGGGTGTGCATATATCGCTGTGGTATGAGGCTTCTCATTCTTTCAGGAAGATACCAAGAAGAGGTATAGCTGGTTCAAATGGAACCTCTTGTTTTAGTTTTTTGAGAAATCTCCATGCTGATTTCCACAGTGGTTGCACCAGTCTACACTCCCACCAGGACTGGAGAAGGGTTCCTTTTTTCCCATAGCCCTGCTAACATTTGTTATTGGTTGATTTCTTGTTAACAGCCGTTCTTTCTGGAATGAGATGGAATCTCAGTCTTGTTTTAATTTGCATCTTTCGAGTGACCAGTGTTGTTGAGCATTTTTTAAAATATATTTATTTGCTGTTTGTAGTTCATCTGAGAAGTGTCTTTTTATTTCAGATGCCCATTTTTGGATTAGGTCTTTTAATTTGAGGGGCCTGATTTTTTTTGAGCTCTTTTCATATTCTAGATAACAGTCCTTTATCTGAATAGCTGGTAAAAATTTTTTCCCACTCTGTGGGTTGTCTCTTCACTCTGTTTCTCTTGCTGTGCAAAAGCTTTTTAATAAGATGAGGTCCCAGTTGTTGATTCTTTGTAGTATTTCCTGTGTGGTCTGGGTTTTGTTCATGAAGTCTTCGCCTACTCCTATGTCCTCAACTTTCTACCTATTCCCTCTTCCAGCAGATTTAGTGTTTTGTTGGTTTTTTTTTGGTACTGGGGATCGAACTGGGACCTTGCTGCTTGCAAGGCAGGCGGTGGAACCACTGAGCTAAATCCCCGGCCCAGCTAAATCCCCGGCCCTAGTGTTTCTGTTTTAACATTTAGATCTTTGATCCATTTCGATTTTAGTTTAGTGCCTGGTGAAAGATATGGGTCTATTTTTAATCTTCAGCATGTGGAAAGCTAGTTTTTTCAGCAACATTTATTAAAGAGACTCTCTTCTAGTGAAGGCGTTTGGCTCCTTTGTCAAAGATAAGGTGATTGAGTATGTCTGGAGTTGTTTCTGCATTCTCTAGTCTGTTTCATTTTAGATGTTTAATCTTTAACATTTTTATTTCAGGTGGTATGTTTTTAGCTACAGGAAGTACTGATCATGTAATCAGAATGTATTTTTTGGGTTTTGAAGCACCCGAAAAAATTGCAGAACTTGAAAGCCACACAGTAAGCACTGATATTTTAAAATTTTATAGATTGTTAATGATATTCTTGTTATTGCTAAAGGGAATTGCTTTTATTCTAATTTTTTATTTTAATGACTTTTAAAAAAATTTTGGTTTTTTGAGACAAGATATTGCTGTCTAGTTGAGGCTGGCCTTGTACTCACTATGTAGACCAGGCTGGCCTTGAACTAGCAGTGATCCTGCTGTCTCAGCCTCTTGAGTACTGGGATTACAGGTGTGTGCCACCATGCCCAGCTATTTTAAAGATTTTTTGATGCAATTATTTTGTTAGATTTAAAAATATTGAATCATATTTGCATTTGTGAGGTCAGTCATTGTGATCTGAGATTTTTTTTCTTTCTTACCTTGGTGGTACTAAAGATCAAACCTAGGGCCCTGCACATTCTAGAGAAGCACTCTTCTACTGAGCTACTTCCAAGTCCTGGATTTTTATATATTTATAAAACTGAAAATGTTCAAGTACAGATGATTTTAAAAAATTCTAATCTTAATTTGCACATAGGAATTGTATATAAATGGGCAGAGTGTTGTGCATAACTCAGATTAGCACCTTGGAAATGGTAATATTTTACAGTGGTTATTTTAGTTCTTAAGTCCTAAGTCTTGATTAGAATAGTTGATCTGGATAGGCTGATTTCCAGTGGGGCTGTTGTCCTAACCAAGCTCATGAAAGAGTGCTCTTCTATGAGTATGTAGTCACGTAGATTTTTTTTGGTACATAAACAATGAAAGTAAAAATACCTTGTTTTTAGGTGCTTTAAAGGTTATGTATTTAGATTACTTTCCATGTGTTCCTTTGCATAGCCACATAAGTTATCTTAAACAGACATAATGTACACAGTGCTATAATTTTATGTGCAAGGCTTTTTTCCTACTGGATGTGGTTAGTTTTGAAAGGAGAGTTGTGCTCTACTAGATCCTTAGAGTCTTTGCACTTAGTATCACGTACACATTAAAGGGTGGGGCCAAGCAAAACAAGGGTACATTTCTTGCTTATTAAACCAAATGTGCTACTGACTGAAATAAAAAATTACAAACTATGTAGATAATCATTGTTTTGTGTTTGTTTGTTTTCTCTCCTTTAGGATAAAGTAGATAGTATCCAATTTTGTAACAACGGTGACCGGTAAGTATACTTGTGTTTTTAGGCACATATAAGCATGTGTGTGTATTTATGTATATTTTTAGGAGATATATCATACTATATATTAATATAGTGAAGATACCACTTTGTATATTTCTCTCTTAATTATAATTTTGATTGACAAATAATTACAGTATAATGCTTTGATATATGTTTACATTGTGGAATGAATTACTCAAAATTATTAACCTATCCATCACATAGTTTTTTCTAGTAAATCATTTAGGGTCTTCTCTTAGCAGTTTTGAGGTATATGTACAGTATGTAGTTATTAACTGTGGTATTAGCACTTTTTATATTGCAGACACTTATCAGTAAATACATTAATTGAATAAAAAGTGTCTATAGAGTGGAGAGAAATCCATTACCCTTAAGAATTTAGAGTTATTTGCTGGGTACCATGACTAAAAGCTGTTCTTTGGCTAGGTATCCAATTTACTGAAAAAATTAGATGTGAGAATGATGAAATTCCTGCTGTTTAAATCTTTAAAAAAAAAAATCTTTTCTAATCAACCACTGTAATGTATTTTGCAATGGAATTATTACCTAAATTATATCCTTTCTGGCACCCAATATATATATGGTGCCTTTCCTAAACTGCAGGTTTTATACTTGCTTTCATTTGTTTATGGATTATTTTTACAGTGTCCAACATGAGTTAGAGCCTAACGTTAGATGAATTTTTGCTGTCATTAATTCCCCATATGCCTTTAATTTTTCCTCTCTCCAGATACTTTTTATATTGTCTTTTCAAAACCCAGAAATCATTTTTATTTTTAAATTTTATTTACTTATTTATTTATTTATTTAGGTACTGGGGATCGAACTCAGGACCTTGTGCTTGCGAGGCAGGCAGCGGCACCACTGAGTTGAATCCCTGGCCCCAGAAATTGTTTTTAAAACTTGCTGATTGCTTTCACAATGTGTTGTATGTCCCCTCCCCCACAAGGGATAGAACTCAGGACCTTGGGTTTGGGAGGCAGGCTCGGTGCCACTGAGCTACATCCCTAACAGTGTGTTGTGTTTTGTAGAGCCAGGAAAATCAGTGCAAAGCACATATGCCTTAAATAACCATAACACCTGTAGATTTGCCTGTCATCAAGATAGCTACATTAAAAGTTATTTTTGCTTGATGATTTTAATTGTAGCCCTTGATAGCAAGTATGTGAGTAGAGGATCTGTTTCTGAATCTCTTAAGGTTCCTAAGTGGTAGCAGAGATGGAACAGCACGAATTTGGAGGTTTGAACAGTTAGAATGGAGAAGCATTTTATTGGATATGGCTACCAGAATCTCAGGGTGAGTTGAAATTGCTTATTGTAAGTGGTTACATCGTACCCCACCCCCTATTTACTGATTACTTCCTTTAGAAGATTTTAACCATCTTCTATTTAAATAGCTACCTACTGTTTGTCTGATAAACAAAGCCTATGTATCCAAATTAATGTAGGAAGGGACAACATGTACTTCTGTTCATTGACCTTGTTCTCAGTTTTGCATTTAAAGCCTCCTACAGTTGAAAAATAATCACAAAATTAAGGCAAATATGTCAAATTTGCTTTTTTTGTAGATAAAATTTTTGAAATTTATAAAACTAGCTTGGAGCTAAGACTAGAGAATAATGTGAAGCAGATATACTTTATTGTTAAAATTTAGAAATTTGGAAAAATTAGAAAATTAGAAAATCAGTGTGAATTTTGGATGTTAAAATTACGATTTATAAAATGATGTTGAAGGCATGTCTATCAGTACCTACCCAATACTACAAATCACCAAAATTGTTTTGAGCATCTTTGAAAGATATAGTACTTCCCAAGGTAAATATTGCAAATTTAAATCTTTTTTTTTTTTTGGTGCGTGTACGTTGGGAGGAGGGGTGGTAGAAAAACCTATTTTGCAGTCAGACCTTGGCTCATTAATTCTTAATTTATTTCATTATCTGGAAAATGAGACCTCGTCTCTAAGCATTATTGGGCTTTTTAAATGATACTGTAAAAGCCTTTGGAACACTGTCCTACAGTAGACATGTTAATGTTCTTTGTCTACTACAAATGCCATTAATACCTTAATTACATTGTGAGTAATAGAAATTTAAAGTCATAAGCTTTACAGTTTTCCTAAAGTTACTTTATTACGTGAGTTTTTTTCAGAAGTGTCCTTATACTTACTGTCTTTTGAAGATCATCGTGTCTGCTTTATTTTCAGTAATAGGAATTGACTTACAAGTGTTCTGTACTTGAAAGATTTGTAGAGTGTTCAGAATAAATTTGATGTTAATATTTTTGTAGAATTATGAGAATAAGATACACTGGAAATTTGATAACCCTCATTTATATATTAAGAAATCTGTGCCATAAGAAGTGTTACAACTGAATATTCAGAAGCATCTCAGTGTGAAAGTGAACACTGTCAGCTCATGGTTAGTGTAAATAATGAAGGAAAATGAGAGTGAAGATAATTTGAAATCATGTTTACTCCTGAGAAATTATTTTATTAGGCAAATTAAGAATATTAGTGTCACAATGTGTATTGAAGCCGATCCCTGTCTCAAGTCCCTGTTCAGGTGCCAACTGTAGCCAACCCACCTGGCTGGCCTTTGCTCCTGGTCGCAGGTCCTTCCTGCCCCAGGTGCCACTCTTGAGGAGCCGGCCCAGTCCTCCGAGCTTTCCCTACCCCCATACTACTTGTGGGGGGACCTAGACTCGCTACTTTGTTCTCCCTGACCCAGGGGTGAATGAGAACGAATGACAGAGACCCGGAGTCAGTCTTAACAAGCAGGCAGCCAGGAGGCTCTCCCCTCTAGTAGGCAGAGGAGCCCTCAGTGTCCAGCTCGTCTTACCTTTATTCACCCAAACACGGATACGAGCAATCAGAGTAAGACAAGATTCATCTGCTTTCCAGTGTCCATTAGTACATGCTCAAGTAAGCAACTTAACCTCGGGTGTCTTAACTTTTCCCTAGACCCTGAATACGCCATCACCCCGAGTGCAGCCTTTCTCCTTTGCTCTCACAGAGGAGGCCAGTTAGGCCTCACTTCTCCTCTGGTCTCCCACAGTGAATGAAACTTTTTAGGGGCATAATATGCCTCTTTTTTAAGATCCTTTTTATCAGTGCACCTCAGATAGAGTAACAGGTTTCATCCTGGCAGGTTTGTGTGTGTTCATAATGTACTCCACCCACCTTACCCTACACTTCCCCTCCCCGTTTTACATTTTTGGTCTGGTTTTTTGGTTTCATTATGTATATATTTTGATTGTACCCATAATTCATATTACCTGTCCTTGTATCCCTGTCCCCCTTAATCACTTCTTAATAATACCTTCCGTTCTATTTTCTTGTCATCCTTTTTAGATTCCCTACATGTGGCACTTGTCTAAGTCTGGGTTATTTTGCCCAACATGATGATCTCAGGATTCATCTGTTTTCCTGTAAATGATAAGATTGTGTTCTTTATGGTTGAATATTACCTCACTGTGAATATATACCTCCCCCTCCCACTTCTTGTGGTACTGGGGATTGAACCGAGGACCTTCTCACTGAGCTACATCTGCAGCCCTTTTTTAAAATTTTGAGACAGAGTCTTGCAAAGTCACTAAGTTGTCCAGGCTGAGCTTGATCTTTTCAATCCTCCTGCCTCAGCCCCTCAGAGTGCTGGGATTATAGGTGTGTGCCACCATGCCCATCATACTATATTTTCTTTGTCCATATGTTGTTTTTCATATATTGCTTTGCATGTAAGCTGGTTTCATGGGTTGGCTATTGTGAATTATGCCACAGTAAACACCGCTGTGGAGCTATCCCTGTACTGTGCTGACTTTAATTCCTTTGGGTATAACAAGGAGTGGTATAGCTAGATCAGATTCTGGCTGTGTATTTTGTGTTTTGTTTTTCCTGGCTCTGTGTTTTTGAGGAGCCTCCATACTGATTTTCATAGTAGCTCTACTGATTTACATTCCTGCTAGCAGCACCAGTCCTCTCCAGAGTTTATTGTTTTTTGTATTCTTTTTTTTTTATACCGGGGATCGAACTCAGGGCCCTCTGCTTTTGAGGCACCACTGAACTAAAGCCCTGGCCCCTGTTTTTGTATTCTTGATGACAGCCATTCTAGTTGGGGTGAGATGGAATCTCAGTGTAGTTTTGATTGCATTTTCCTAATGGCTAAAGATGTTGAACATTTTTTCATATGCTTATTGGCCATTTCTTTCTTGGTTTGAGGAGGGTCTGTTCATTTTTCCCATTTATTGATTGGGCTAGTTGATGTTTTGGATTAAGTTTTGAGTTCTTTGTATATTCTAGATATTAACCCTCTGTTGGAAGCATAGCTGACAGACTTTCTCTCATTGTATATTTAGGCTCTTTACTCTTAGTTTATTTCTTTGCTGCCCAGAAACCTTTTAATTTGATGTCCTATTTGTTGAACCTCCCTGTTATTTTCTGTGCTGTTTAACTTCTCTTCAGGAAGTCTTTGCCTGGGTCTATGGCTTCAAGTGTTTCCCCCACCCCCCCACCCTCTGGGGATCAACCTCAGGACCTTCCGCTTGCCAGGCTACATCCCTAGCCCTTTATACCTAGGTCTTTGATCCATTTTGAATTGATTTTTGTACAAGGTAAGAGGTGGGGATATAGTTTCAGTCTTCCATAAGTGTGGATATCTAGTCCTCCCAACACCACTGGTTAAGTAAATAGGCTGTCTTCTCTCCATTGTATATTTTTGACTGCTTCATCCAGAATCAGATGGCTATATGTAGTTATGTGTGTTTGTTTCTGTGTTTTTTATTCTATTCCATTGATCTCCATATCTGTTTTTGTCCTAGTACCATTCTGTTTTTTTGTTTTTGTTTTTTTGGTACCAGGGATCGAACTCAGGTCCTTGTGCTTGCACAGTAAGGTGGTGAAACCACTGAGCTAAATCCCCGGCCCTCTCCATGCTATTTTTGTTATTGTGGTTATATAATTTGAAACTGAGTAGTGTGGTGCCTCCAGCCTTGGTCTTTTTTGCTTAGGATTGTTTTGCCTATTCTGAGTCTTTCATATTTCTGTATGAATCTTAAGATAGTTTTTTTCTAGTTACGTGAAGAATGTCATTTGTAGTTTTTTTTTTTTTTGGTACTGGGGATCGAACTCAGGACCTTGTGCTTGCGAGGAAGGCGGCAGAACCACTGAGTTAAATCCCCAGCCCTGTCATTTGTAGTTTGATGAGGATTGCATTGAATCTGTAGATCACTTTTGGTAATAAGGCCATTTTAATTCTTCCAATCCACATATGTGTGAGGTCTTTCCATCTTTTAATGTCTTCTTCAATTTTTTTCTTCAGTGTTGAGAAATTTTCATTGTGGAAATCTTTCATCTCCTTGGTTAGATTGGTCCCTGGTTATTTTATTTGTTTGGAGCTATTGTGCTGGGAATTGTTTTCCTTATTTTTTACTCTATTATTGGCGTATAGAAAAGCTGAGTTTTTTTTGGCGAGGGGTACTGGGGATTGAACTCAGGACCTTGCGCTTGTGAGGCAGGCACTACCACTGAGCTACATCCCTGGCCCTGCTGTTGATACTTTAATGTTGACTTTGGATCTTGGTACTTTGTTGAATTCATTCTCTGGCTTTAAAAGATTTTTGCTGGAGTCTTTAGAGTTTTCTAAGTATCTGGTCATATCACCTGCAAACAAGGATAATTTGACTTTTTCTTTTTTATTCTGTTTGTATTTTCTCCAGCCTAATTTTTCTGACTGAAATTTTAGGAACTGTCTTGAATAGGAGCAGTGAGTAGATAGCCTTGCCTTGTTCCTGAAAAACTTGAAAATGAGATTAAAAACTGCTTAGTTTTCTTGCTGCCTTGTCTGCTAATGGAGTGATTGACCATAGTTTTTTTTTTTTGGTACCGGGGATCGAACTCAGGTCATTGCGCTTGCACAGCAGGCGGCGGAAACCACTGAGCTAAATCCCCGGCCCGACCATAGTTCTTTTGATGGTGATAAACTCTTCTCATTTGAAATGCCACTGCTCTCAAATACTGGAAAAGTAGAGTCTTCTGTAAGAATTGACAGATGTTTGTTTTGATGGTCTGATTTGGCTAATCAGCCTAATGAAATGCAGGTAATATAGCCATTGTTAGTAAGTCCAGTTATTAATTGATAAAGCCTTTTAAAGACTAGGGTCATAGTCTTTATTTTACCTCTTATATTCTTTTCTCTGACCAGTCTAAACAGACATATTCTCTGTTCTGTGTTCCATTGTGTTCACATAGATACCTGGTGTTTGGCATTTACTTCATATTTTGGTAGGTGTTTTACTTGTTAATTAAAATATTTTAGATGCTTATAATTTCTTAGAATATGTTCTATTATTTCAGAACTAATTAGACCTTTCCTCTTCCTCCCACTATTTATTGCTGACCACTATTGTTTGCAGAGAAAGTATAATTTGCAAAACTCTGCAGTGTGTATCTGTGGCAGTTTTTGCCAAGGGTCTCCAAAGAACAAGGATATATAAAGGAGGAAGAGTAGTATGTTCCATTTGTAGTTCAGTTGGGTGTGTGTCAGGTAGTTATTTTGGCATGAGGGATGTGAAAATTATTTTTCTTTCAGTCTTCCTAAAATTTCTTTCTTTGTTTTCTCTGGTGAAACAGTTCAGAGTTAAGTATGAGCAGTTGGTTTGGAATCCAGAGAAGAGAATAATTTTAAAAAGATAGGGAAACAAACCTTACAGTCCTCATTTAACGACCGAGCTACTGTCCTGTGACTGGGTTGCTAATTGATTTGGCTGCTAAATGAGGAATTGTATGTAGTATGTACATTACAATGTTCAGAACAAGGAAATGATCAAAGGAAACTCCAGCTTGATGACTTTGCTTTTATTTGCATAACTCTGACAGGCAATACTGTAATGAATAACAACATACAGCTACATAGTGTACTTACCTATATAGTACAATACATGAAAATTACAGTACTGTATAAACAGGGTGTCATAAATTCTAGCAGTTGTTAGGCAGGTAGGTTGTTAAATGAGGAACATCTGTACTTTCAGAAGCAGACTTGGTATCCTAAAATGTGCTTGGAGCTCTAAACTGCTTCTAAATTGTCTACTACCCATCTGGTTTTGCCTTGGTCTCTAGTCTGTTCTAAACCTTCTATAAATAATAGGGCTAATAAAATAGGCACATGAATTAGATTTCTTTATTTACTGTTGTATTGGTGAGGGATTATATACATTGTATACCATACTCCAAATGATACCATGTGTACTTTTTTGTTAGAGACTTGTCTTCTGAAGAGGAAAGGTTTATGAAACCCAAAGTAACAATGATAGCTTGGAATCAGAATGATAGCATTGTTGTCACAGCTGTGAATGATCATGTCCTCAAAGTGTGGAATTCTTACACTGGACACCTGCTTCATAATTTACTGGTAAGTAGTTTTTATACAGTGTGACAGATCAGAAGTTTTGAGCTCTTATTTTTGAAACTATGTATAAAATAATACGCTTTATTTAACTTTTCAGATGATTGGAAAATTTTATACATGACAATGTTTGAATTGCTGTCATTGATATATTTTTAAAGCCCTTATATAATTTGACATGGGTGATTTTTAAAATATAATCTTCAATTTATAACTTGTAAATCTTCATTATGACTTTTTCAATAAAGGGACATGCTGATGAAGTATTTGTTTTGGAGACACATCCTTTTGATTCCAGAATCATGTTATCTGCTGGACATGATGGCAGCATATTTATATGGGATATTACAAAAGGCACCAAGTTGAAACACTATTTTAATACGGTAAGTGAGGAGAATCTTTATGCCTGCATTTGCTTAGAGTAATTTGGATTTATTAGGGTTAGTCAGAATTTGGTTCGTATGTTTTGGCAGTTTATTTTTCTAGAAATTAGGATTCTTAAAGCTTAATAAGTATCTGACATATAGCTATATATGCATAAAATTTTCTGAATAGTTGGCTTTATGCAAGGGAAGAGATTCTTTTAGAAGTTATCTATGTCGCAGGGGATTTAGCTCAGTGGTTCTGTCGCCTGCTTTGCAAGTGGAAGGTTCCGAGTTCAATCTCTGGTACCCAAAAAACAAAAGAAGTTATCTATGTACCTTTTTTTGTGTGAGAATTATGCCTGTTTAAATTGACAAATTTATGGTAATTATGCAACCTTTTCCACTGGTTGAATTTATTAAAATACTTAATAGTACATAAAGCTATTACCAGTAAACTAATACTCGGTAACTGAGTGTTATTCAGCATACATCCGTAGATAGTGTGTAGGGATCAAATATCATTCATCTCTTTTCCTTACTACATGTAACTGTATTCTTTGTATTATTATTATTTTTTTTTTGGTACCGGGGATCAAACTCGGGACCCTTGTGCTTGCCAGGTAGATGGTGGAACCACTGAGCTAAATCCCTGGCCCTGTAATTGTATTCTTGAACTAAATTAGGATCCCACTGTGTATTTTCAGAATTTCTGAAAATTTCATAACCATAAATACAGAATTTCTGAAAATTACATAACCATAAATACAGTTAGTAATCAGCAAATTTAACATTGATAAAATTGTATTATTTAATCCAGATCTATATTCACATTTTGCCAGTAGGTCCAGTAGTGCCTTGTATAGCAGCTGTATTTTGTTCTTTGGACAGAATCCAACTGAGTATCATGTATTCTTTGTATTAAGTGACTTTATCTTTCTAGTTTTCTTTAAATCTTAATAGCCCTTCAGTCTCCTTTTCCTCTTTGCTCTTTCACTTTTTAATTTTTTTCCAGTACTGGAAGGTGAATCCAGGGATACTCTTCCTACTGAGCTATTTTCAGCCTTTTTTATTTTATTTTGTTTTTTTGAGACAAGGTCTTGCTATGTATTCAAACTGGCCTTGAACTCACTGTGTAGTCCAGGATGGCCTTGAAATCTCTTTGATCCTCCTGCCTCAGCCTCTGGAGTGCTGATATTATAGACTTTCGCCCACCATGCCTGTCCAGCCTTTCTAATTTTTGTTTTGGGTACCGGGAATCGAACATAGGAACTTGCGCTTGCAAGGCAGGCGTGGTGCCGCTGAGCTAAATCCCCAGCGTCCTTTCTAATTTTTTATGTTGAGACAGAGTCTTACTAAATTGCCCAGGCTGGCCTGAAACTTGCAATCTTCCTGCCTCAGCTTCCTGAGTAGCTAAGATTACAGGTGTGTGCCACAGTATCTGGCTGCTCTTTGACTTTTGATGAGTATACACAAATGTTATAAAATGTCCCCGAGGGTTTTGTGTGTGTATGTTGTTGTTGTTGTTCAAGCTGGTCTTTAACTTCTGGCCTCAAGCATTCCTCACGCCTCAGTCTCCCAGGGAGTTGGCATTGTAGGTGCACACTACTGTGCCTGGCTGGAGTGTCTCCCTCAGTGTGTCTGTGTCTTCATGATTAGATTCTGTTACCATGTGAGATATGTATAATGCAATCATGCTTCACTGTTTATATTAAGATCTATTTCAAAGTGTAATTAATTTTGGATGCAGAATAATCGGAGCTATAGACGAGTAGCTCTTAGATTTGATTGAAGGCCATCCTATATCAAATGACAAATAATACATTTAGACACCTGAAAATTTTATCTTTGTGTATTCAAATTATTAGAGAACTAGGCTTTCTTGGACACTTTTTCTATTGTCTTCAAATTATAGGGTACATCCATCTCCTCAGTTATCCTTTAAAACTCAGCAAGATTAGTCCAGCTTGAATTTAGCCTATCAAAGCAAAACATTACATTGATTCAGGATTTAAACAGCATAATTGAAATAACTCCTAAGCCAAACCATAGTAATTGGCGTTTTATGCTGAGCTCTCCCTACCTTTTCTCCTGAGAGATCCTTAATTCTCCAGTGCTAGACAAATCATACAGGAGTGTCAGTGCCATCAGAACAGTCCTACATACACATGAGCCTCAGTGTGACATTGAGTTGTCCTGTAGGCACACTTGCAGGTGGCATTTTGTCAGGAGTTGCTAAAAACCCAATTCTGACTTACGCTGGTTTGTCCACTCAGTAAACTTCCCTGTCAATCAGTAGCCTTAGAAAAGCTTTGGTGCCTTTGGCCCACATGTGTGATGGGAAAAGTAGCTGTCACTTCTTTGCCTTGCCAGCCTCAGGCTCCTGCTGCTCCTGCCCACCTGCTTGTGTTTCACTGTGGTTGGAGCCCAGCCCAGCCCAGCCCAGCCCAGCCCAGCCCAGCCGACGGAGTGCTGTGAGAGGCGGGTGCTATGGCGAGGTGGCTCCCAGAGAGATCGAGGGTGACTGGATCTGTGTTTCCATGTTGTCGCAGTCAGTTGGAGAAAAATACATATTTAGGTATAGATTGCCTTAGTCAGCAGTGCCCCGAACAAAGTTAGTGACTTTATTTTTTCCATGTTTGCTAATTGGTGCCTGCTCGTGGGGAAGTACACTCTTAATGCAGGGATTTACTTGGGCATGGATGTGTTTGCTTTCGCAGTTAGTAAGTGGATAATTCATTTTTCCAGCACTGATTATACTTATCTTAGAGTTTACTTATTGGAAAATTATAGATCCAGACAACTAATATACATACCTCGATGCTGTAGTATTAACCAATAACTAACTTACCTATAAATTGTATAGTATGCTATACAGCTAAAAAGGAAGAATAAGAGTTTGACTGGGCATGGTGGTGGATCTGTAATCCCAGCACTTGGGAGGCTGAGGCAGGAGGAATGCTGTGAGTTCGAGGCCAGCCTGGGACACACAGTGAGACTCTGTCTCAAAAAAAGGAAAGAGTTTACATTAATGATCAGATGTTCTGAGAGCACCCTTCCTGCAGTCAGTGGTGGATTGAAGTTGGGCAGCTGCTGGCATTCACATTGTGCCCTGGGGCTCTGTAGCGCTGCCCAGTTGTGCTTGGTTGTATCATCTTAATAGTGACTTGAAGTAGGGGCCTCCTTACCTTCCAGACAAATTTACATTTTAGTGTATAAATATCAAATATTGTTAATTTAAAAAAATAATGTACCCAATAGGTTGTTAGCCTTTTATTATATAGGAAAATTAAAGTTCACGAATGGGATTGCTTGTTGTTCACTTGTAAGAAGTAAAGAAAGCCTTCACTGGATTGGTCTGAGTGTTCATTTGATCATTTTGAGAACTGTTAAAGTATCTCTCAGGGTTTTTTTTTTTTTTTTTACTGTTAGTGTTATCAAAAATGAATCTGACAGTATTGATGTTTGCGCTTAATAGAAGATGGTTAAGGGCCGGGGATTTAGCTCAGTGGCACCGTGCCTGCCTGGCAAGTGGTAAGTGCAAGGTCATGAATTCAATTCTTGGTACTAGAAAAAAAAGAGAGAGAGAGAAAATGGTTAAAAAATGTTTCTCTAGAGGGCTGGAGGTGTAGTTCAGTGGTATAGTGCTCTCCAGCATTGGGTGTGCAAGACTGGAGTTTGATCCCTAGCTTTGTGGGGGGAAAATTCAGGAAGGGATATTATGTAGCAGGTTATCTACATTTAAAAACCATATATAGGAAGAGCACTTGCTTAGAATTGATCCTAACTTTCTTCCCTTGGGTTTTCCTAGATTGAAGGGCAAGGACATGGAGCTGTGTTTGACTGCAAGTTTTCACAGGATGGACAACATTTTGCCTGTACAGATTCTCATGGGCATCTTCTGATATTTGGTTTTGGATGCAGCAAACCATATGAAAAGGTTATTTTTTAATGCTTTCTTGTAGTATGTAGAATAAATAGTGAGAAATGGCTTGGAAATAGTTTAGCTGTACTGATTTGATTTCCTTGTGTTTTTAGTTTTACCTAACATTAATATTTGTTTTGTTTGTTTTTCTTGATGTAGCTCAGTGGTGCGGAGTCTGCCTTGCAAATGCAAGGTCCCGAGTTCAATCCGCGGTGTGGAGGGGTAGTATTTGTTTTCTTTAACATGTACAAATCTCAAAATGTCATCGTGTGAACTTTACTTTTCTAGATTCCCGATCAGATGTTCTTCCATACTGACTACCGACCGCTGATTAGAGATTCTAATAATTATGTCTTAGATGAGCAAACTCAGCAGGCTCCTCATCTTATGCCTCCACCATTTTTGGTGGATGTTGATGGAAATCCTCATCCAACTAAGTACCAGAGATTGGTACCCGGTCGGGAAAACTCTGCCGATGAGCACTTGGTTCCACAGCTTGGCTATGTGGCCACAAGTGAGTGTAAAGTCTTTCTTTTCTAATTTCTTTTTCGTTTTGTTTTAAACTTTTTATTTGGAATATTTAAAGAATAATGCAAAGAACTCTTTAGTATTTTTTTTTTTTTGAGACAAGGTAGACTCAAAGTAGTTCAGGCTGTCCTTAGACTCTGTGTAGTCCAGGCTGGCCTCAAACGTGCAATACTTCCCCTGCTTCAGCCTCCCGAATGCTAGGATTAAGGCACGTGTCACCACACTTGGTCTCCCGTATCTCTTAGGGTTAAGCATTTATGTTTTGTGATGTTTGTTTATTTTCTGTATATATTGCTTTGAACTATTTGAAACCGAAGTTCTGGATATCTCAGGCCCACTTACCCCTATGTGCTTTAATACACACATTTTCTAAGAATGATATTCTTTTACATAACCATAGATAATTATCAAAATTAAGATATTTAACATTTGTATAATGCTGTTGTCAGATATAGTCTAATTAAAATTTGGCAGTTCTAATAATGTTGTTATAGCTTTTTTTGTTCTTTATTGATGGCAGTTTGGGGACTGCACATGAAATTTAGATGTCGTATTTCCTTAATCACCTTTTAAATTTAGTTTAATTTCATTTTATTTTTAGAGACAGGGTCTCCCTTTGTGGTGCAGGCTGGCCTTAAACTCGCTTGCCGCCATCTTCCTTTCTCAGCCTCCCGAGTGCTGGGATTATAGGTGTGTGGCACCGCAAGTAGCAGTTTCCTTTAATTTGGAGCAAGGGCTTAGCTTTTGACTCTTGATGCCATTGGTATAGTGAAAGAATGTAGGCCAGGGATTTTGTAGACTATATCAAGGATTTTGTAGACTGGGCTTGCCTGTTTGTTTTTGACAGAATGCTTCATGAATGATGTGGTGGTCTTCTTCGTGGACCATCATATGTCAGCATGCTTATGATTTGGGTTTGCCCAGTAAGTGGTCACGTCTTTAACACTTGGCTGATGTGGCATTTGCCAAGTTTTCTTCACTGCTTTTCTCTTTGTATTTGGTGGTAAGATACTAAATGCTCTGTTCTTTGTGTGAGTTTACCCACATGTTTTAGGATCCATGGTGTCAGTTCTTACTGTGAAAGCTGCAGAACAGTTAATTTGTTTAACTTCATCTACATTTTGTTTTGGTACCGGGGATTGAACTCGGAACCTTGCGCTTGCTAGGCAGGGGGCAGAACCACTGAGCTAAATCCCTGGCCCCCAACTTCATCTACATTTTATTATGAATGTCTGTCACTGTTTATTGGTGCAATTCATCCTGTTTTAGTACAGTCTTACGGGTTGTTGCTTACTGGGCTATAATCCATTATTGACAGTATTTTGGTACTCACTATCCATAGGTTTATTTCTCGAGAAACCTTTTCAAATTGTTTGTTCCTGAGTCTCCAGTATTGTAAAAGCAGTTCCTTTCTTTTCTGGCACCAGATGTTCTAGGATCATCTTATACTTCCTCTTTCTTAGCCAAATGCAAAGTTTTTATTTTGTGTGTTAATGGTGAAGTATTTCTCTCTAGAGATTTTAGGAGAAAAATGCAATTTTATTTGGGTGAGGATTGATTTACCAGGATGATGTCACCAATTATGTATAAGGTTAAAGCTGGGTGTAAGTTCAAATGTTTCTATTTAAATAACTTTTTTTTTTTTGAGGCAGGGTCTCCTTTTGTAGTTCAGGCTGGCCCTGAACTCTCACTGTGTAGCCCAGGCTGGTCTCAAACTCAGGGCAATCCTCCTTCCTTAGTCTTCCAAGTGCTGGAATTATAGGCATGTGCCATTACACCTGGCTCTATTTTTAAATAATTTTATTTAAGTGTATCTCATATATAACAAAACCCACCAATTGTAAGTGTATAATTTAAATGAATTTTGACAAATATTAATCATGTAACAGCCATCACTGAAATCAAGATGTAGAACTTTTCCATTGCCCGTGTTTCCTGGGCCCATTTAGAGCCAATCTTTCCCTTTCCCAGTCCTTTGTGACTACTGTTATGTTTTCTGTCACTTTAATTTTACCTTCGAAGTGAATTTTGTATGGAGTACTCTCCTTATCTGGTTTCATTTACTGTGCTTTTGTTTACCAGTAGTCAACTTAATGTTCAGAAATGTTAAATGGCAGATTCCAGAAGTAAACAATGCATTTTAAATTGCATGGCATTCTGAGTAGCATGATAAATTTTGTGTTATCTTGCCTAGGACACAAATCCCTTTGTCTGTCGATGTATAAACTAACCACCTGTTACCCACTTAGTAGCTTCGTTGTTTAGCAGATTGACTATTCAAGTACTGCAGTGCTGTTTTCAAGTAACTTACCGTACTTAATCATGGCCTTGTCACTGTGCTGGGTCTGAGAGTTTCCTAAAATGAACTCACCCTGCTGCCACAGGTTTGCTGACTCCCATCACAGAGCAAGTATTTTCAGGACGGGTCAGAAAGTGGCACGAGTAAGATCTACTACAGTGGTGGCCAACCTGTGGCATGTGTGCCTCAGGTGGTTGTTGTCATTGAAAGCTCTGAAAGGTTCGCCATCATTGGTCTATTAGGTAAAGACAGGTAGTATAAGACACACTGGAGGGTAGTGCGGGTGCTCAGTGAAATGAGATGCATTGTGGTTTGGAACTGGGTACGTTTAATTCTTTTCTTGAAGGGATGAAAAGCTAAGAGAAACCCCTCACCCCTTTTAGCCTATTCCCAGGGATGGTTTTATTTTTTTGAAAAGGCGATTTAAACACTCTCTGGATTTGCTCAGCCTGTTGTTTACTCTGTTAACTGGGCCAATTTATAGCCTTCTAGTGATGGGTCTGGCACTAGGAGGAAAGGGTGTAAATCTAGCCAGTGAGCCTTAGCATGGGATTGTCTGGGGTGACTAAGTCCTGAAAGTTGCAGTCTTCTTTTTCTTTTTATATTTTTTTCCCCCTATTAAGTTTATTGGTACATTTTAGGTATAAAATACAGTTATATACAACATTGGGATCTTGTACCTTTACATGAGTATCTTGCTTCTTTTTTTTTTTTTCCCCTTACCCTGCCCTTCCTTCACCCCCTCCACCCTTCCCTATTTGCAAAGACTTTGTTTCCATTTTTTTCCTGTTCTCATATTTTTTCTTTTTCCTTCTTTCCTTTCCCCTACCCCTCCCACTTCCCCTGCTCCTTTAGACCTTTTCTTCCTGTTACATAATATCAATTATAAATGTTAAAAATTACAATAGCAAGATCTAGGAGACATTACCACAGATTATACAGAATTTGAAAGGATATAGAAAGCATATTTCAAAAATCTGTTTTGAAATAAATTTGACAACTTCTAAGAAGTACCTTGGAAGACAAATTAATGAAACTAACT